CACTTACTCCTTACAATTTTACTTGTAATCTAAAAAACTCAATACTCATAGTACTTTTGTGGTCATTGGTGGATCTGACCACAAATGACCAGACATGCTCAGACATGCATGCTCTCAGCGGAGCTCGGTTAAGGGCATGCTCTGCCTCCTTGTTTCAGCTCTCACATGGTGAACAGTGTCCTTTTCATAGTCTGTTCAGTGCCATGTTTTCCATTTCATTTTGCATTTTGTGCTTTTTGTTCATGACTTCCCTATTTAAAATGGCCCCCAAGCGTGGTATTAAAGAGCTGTCCAGTGTTCATTAAGCATGGAGGCCATGGGGTGCCTGACAGAGAAAACACATGTTAGATGAGCCATGTTTGGCATGAGATATAGTGCTGTTGGCCATGAGATCAACATTAGTGCATCAACTATATACATATAGTGAGGTGCCTTTAAACAGAAACACAACAAACAAGGTTATGTTTTGATCTATTGGTAAAAATGTGACCAGCTCACAGGACCCTAACTCTGCATTTCCTCCAGGACCACTGGTTCAGTATCCACTAAGTCAGTATTTGTGATTAATTTATAGAACATTAACTACCATGATGAGCACTCACTGTGTGTCTTTTTATTTTTTTGTTTTTTTTCATAACATTCTCTGTCATCTAATAACTGACAGTTTATTACATCAGGCACAGACAGCCACACTCATTTTCAAATGAAAACTTTCCATTTAAGATAATGTTTATTAACCACCAGTGATCAGATGCATATAAAGACAAGAGCCATCCCTGCTTTATAAGAGTTATCTACTAAAAAAGAAAAAAAAGTGTTTCAAACATAATCACGAATTTCATTGAAAAGAAAAACCTTTGGCTAAAAGGACCAAAGCTTCAATAAAATAACCTAATCTAATTTTGGAGGCTTTCCTGGTGGCTCAGTGGTAAGGAATTCACTTGCCAATGTAGGAGACGTGGGTTCAATCCCTGGGTCAGGAAGATCCCCTGGAGAAGGGAATGGCAACCCACTCCAGTATTCTTACCTGGGAAATCCCATGGACAGAGGAGCCTGGCGGGCTACAGTCCGTGCGGTCTCAAAAGACTTGGACATGACTGAGTGACCACAATCAACAACAATCTAATTTTAGCCAACAATCTTAATTTCCAATCTGATTTCCTTGTCTTATTTATTAATATATCTAATTTAAACAGTACCCTGGCAGTCATTCAATGAGCTTTATCCAGGATGCTATGCAAGGCATTTTACATGAAATTCACATTATCACCATCTCTTCTATCAACGAGAAAACCAAGCCTCAGAGAGATTTTTAAAAATCGCACCAGATCACTCAGCAAGTAAGTTGCATAATTGAGAACTGGAGTCAAACCCACGTGCATTTGCCTCCAAAGCTCTGTTCAATGAGCACAGTTGCTATACTGGGCTTGTGTCCGTTCTAACTGAGATACAAGCCACCTCCAGTGAAGTCACAGACAGGACTGGAACATCATTCAGCAAAGAGTTTTGTGAGGGGAAGGCAAAGAGAGGGGTCTTGTGGTTAAGTAAGTTTGGGCAATGGAGCTTCCTCTTCTCCACTGAAAACTCAAACAGTGTTCAATTAACTGAAACCATGGCTTTTACATTCTCAGGCGGGCTCTGCGATCAAAGGAAAACGCTGTTTATGTGTATGGTTAGGAAGCAAGATGCTAACACTGAGAAAGAACCACAGAAGGGTCATTCCCCAGGTCAGCATACAAGGCTTACATACAACTGATGAAACATTTGTGTCTATAATTAGTTCCATCTCTCCCATCCTTCCAAGATTTGCAATATGCTTTTTAATCAACACAAAATAATTTTTACTTTTGAATTCATATATCAAGCTCCTGGCAAAATTTTCGTGCTGATGAGGAGCCTGGCAGGCTACAGTCCGTGGGGTCGCAAAAAGTCAGGCATGACCGAGCGACTAAGCACATTTTTCTTGAAAAGTTGCGTTCTGAGAGTGGCATAGACTCAAATCCTGCTAGAATACAGAAATTACAGGTCTTAATTATTTAAGAGGTGAGGTGACAGAAAAGACTGTTCAAGGATGAGTTCACATTTGATAATAATTCACATGTATGGCAGGCGATAAAAACCCCAAAGAGCTTATAGAGTAAGGGAGAGAGAAGCCTGTTAACACTGTGAGGTGGGAAGGGCCACAGAAAGGACACGGCCACTTGGGACCACTTCAGGGGAGAGGATGGGAGCCAGGAGACCCAAGCTGTGTCCTGAAGTCTGGGCTCCAGCCAAAAGAGGAAGAAGCTGTGTGCTGGAGGGATAGCTTCCAAGAGGAAGAAGAGCATGACCCAGGGCAGGGAGGCATGAGAGAGCCTGCCTGGTATTCTTGAAAGAAGAGGAAGCGGTTGGGGGGAAACTGAGCGATCCTCACAGCCAGGGTCCTGCCCAGAATGGAGCAATGCCAGCCCCAACCCCGCTCACAATGTGGGAAAGCAGGGACCTGACTGAGCCTTGGTTTCCTCCTCTGTATAAGAGCAATGGCAATCTGAAATGAGGCCATGCACGTGAGTACGGCATTCAAGCACATGAAAAGGATGAAAGTTAGCATGTTGGCTCAGCTTCAAACTTCTTAAAGAAGCCAAGAGGTTTCCCTGATAGCTCAGTTGGTAAAGAATCTGCCTGCAATGCGGGAGACCCTGGTTTGATTCCTGGGTTGAGAAGATCCCCTGGAGAAGGGATAGGCTACCCACTCCAGTATTCTTGGGCTTCCCTTGTGGCTCAGCTGGTAAAGAATCTGCCTGCAACACGGGAGATCTGGGTTCAATCCCTGGGTTAGGAAGATCCTCTGGAGAAGGGAAAGGCTACCCACTCCAGTATTCTGGCCTGGAGAATTCCATGGACTGTACAGTCCATGGGGTTGCAAAGGGTTGGACATAACTGAGTGACTTTCACTCACTGACTCAAAGAAGCCAAGAGGGTGGTATTTCAGAGGCTGAAAGTATTAGTATTAGTCGCTCAGTCATGTCCGACTCTTTGCGACCCCATGGACTGTAGCCTACCAGGCTTCTCTTTCCATGGAATTCTCCAGGCAAGAAAACTGGAGTGGGTTGCCATTCCCTTCTCCAAAAGCAGCACCTAATTTCTTCTTGGCAGTTTTCTTTACAATATCTTTGAAATCTAAGTGTTAAATCTCTACATTTTCCCCCTCATTAGGACTCAACAAAGCTATTTTCATTTTGGATGGGACCTATGTGATTTTCCGCAGTTGGTCCATAAAGGACCGTGTGGCTTTGTATGCTGAATTTTTAGCCTGTAGGTAGGTGATGGGAGGGCTTCCCTGGGTGATCAGCAGTAAAGAATCTTCCTGCCAGTGCAGGAGAGGTAAGAGAAATGGGTTTGACTGCCCGGTTGGGAAAATCCCCTGAAAGAACACATGGCAACCCACTCCAGTATTCTTGCCTGGAGAATCCCACGGGCAGAAGAGCCTGGCAGGCTACAGTCCATAGGGTCACAAAGAGTCAGACACAACTGAAGCGACTAAGCACTAATGCATGCAGGTGATGGGAAGCAGACAGCATTTTGCAAAGATGACCTCAGCTGTATCTCCCATCGCTCACGCTCTTGCTTGGTGTGGCCCTGCCTTTCCCACCATCCCAGTCCCCTGGAATCTGAGCTTGGTTCTGACCATTAGAACGTGGCAGACGTGACTCTGGGGCTTCTGCCTGGGTTGTCAGCATGCACACTCTTGAGAGCTAGCTCCCTCTGGGAACCCAGCCACCATGCTGGGAGAAGCCATGTGGACATGTTCCCATCAATAGCTCCCGCTGAGTGTGAGAGCAGCTCTAAAAAAGTCAGCCAGGTGAGTCTTCAGGTGGCTCCAGCCCCAGCGAACACCTCAGTGCCACCATGTGAGAGAGACCCCCAAGCAAGAACACTCACAGAAGCATATGTTCATAAAAAAATGTTGTTTCAAGCTACCAAGTTTTGGGGTGTTTGTTTCACAACAGTGGATAGGTGGAACATTTACTAAAAAAAAAAAATTTTTTTTTAAAACAGATGATTCCAGAAGCTACGTGAAGAAAAGAGTCAATACACAAGGTGAGGGGACAGAAGGTGACCAGTGCCTCTGACAAGCCTAAAGGAAGAGCCGGGGACAGGAGTGAGAGTGTCTGGACCATTTTGCATGCAGTTGGCCCCCCGGCGGGGGGTGGGGCCCCATGCAAACAGCCCTCTGTTACATCAGCAGGTGTGAGTTCACTTTTCAGGTTCTCTGCTTCTCATCTTGGCAGCAAGATGCCCTCTTTCAAGGGAAGTGTTACATCATTTACGAGGGACCTCTGTGCCAAAACCCAAAACCGATGACAACAAAACCCAAAGATCACACTAAAATGCCTCTGCAGATTTCTGGCTGAACTGTACTCATCCCCAACGTACCTTTCCCAGTCCCTCTAGGGAAGCAGGTCCTCCCCTCTGGGAAATGCACAAGACCCAAAGTCTCCAGCCACTTAGCTGTGTCCTATTATTTGTGATCCCATGGACTATAGCCTGCCAGGCTCCTCTGTCCATGGGATTCTCCAGGCAAGAATACTAGAGTGAACAGCCATTCCTGTCTCCACGGGGTCTTCCTGACCCAGGGATCGAAACTGGGTTTCCCACACTGCAGGCAGATTCTTTACCAGCTGAGCCACCAGGGAATTGCCAAACTCTCCAGCAAGACCCGGTAAACATATGGCCACGAATCTCCATCCGGATTGGTGCAGACGCCCAGGGCCTACCCCTAGGGACATCACCTGTAGAGGTCTCTGGTGATGAGGAAGCACTTGGTCCTCATTCAGTGGAAACTTCCCCTTCCATCCCAACCCACCGGCTGTGCAGACATCAGCAGATGATGACCCAGTATGGGAACCTGGTACTTCAGCACCAAGTCTGAGTTCCTGGAACACTTCCATGCTACAGCCCACACTTGGAACTGCTCTCTTTCTGCCTTTTGAGAAGCTATGTGTGACAGGAAGAGAAACCACATTTTTTTTTTTTTTTACAAAGAAACAAAGTTGGTGATTTAATACTATTATTATTATTAAAAATAAACAATCCTCCAAAAATTATTCTGAACTGCCGCCATGGGTGAGTTAAAAAGTCACATGATCTAGAGAACAAGAGTTCCCCCACCAGTGAGCAAACAGCAGGTTGCCAGGACACCAACGCGGAGAAGCAGGGTTTGCCAAGAGGATAAACAGCAGCAGGTCACCCAGGGAACCAGGACAACATGCGAGTCTGGAGTGAGCTGCAGAACGTGAGTGCTGCCTAAGGGTACACTGGGAGCGACACGCTGGGTGGGGGAGCTCAGACCAGAGACGGACCCAGAGACGGCTGCTTGGGGGGAGCATCCTCCCAGAAGATAGGACACAGAGAAGTCACCCAGAAGAACGGGGCAAGACCCAGGACCTAAGGCAGGGCAGACAAGGGTCTGGCTTCCCACACAAGTGTGGGGCTGCCAGTGGGTCAAAGAAACCAAATACACAGAGTATCAGGTGGCTGGAGCAGCCTCCTTATAATTAAGAAACTAGCAAACCAGAGCTGGTGAGGACCCAGAAATAAGGAAGATGGGAAAGAGAACAGCGGTTATCTCTGCTCACCTCATGTGTCCCCGGGATACCTCTTTGGAGGGGGAAGGTCAGAGCTCCACCTAGAAGATCATTTCCCAAAGTGGGTTCTCTGGAGCTCAAGTTTGGTATTAGCAGATGCAAACTATGATACACAGGATGGATAAATAACAAGGTCCTACTGTCTAGCACGGGGAACTATATTCAATATCCCATGATAAACCATAATGGAGAAGAATATTAAAGAGAATGTATACACATATGTATAATTGAGTCACTCTGCTATACAACAGAAATTAACACAATATTGTAAATCAATTATTTAAAAAATTTTTTTTAAAAGAGGTTACTCTTTATAAAATTTTTTTCATGGAGAAAGTTTCATGGCAAAGCACATCTAGGGAAAATCGGGTAAACAGAGACACAACAGATGTCTATATGGAGAACTCACCAGACTCTGCCCTCTGTCTCCAAGGGGGCACGGAATTCAGCGTTTTAGCAGGTTGGAGGGTGTTGTTAACCATAATTTTTTTTTCCTGGCTGTGAAATCTAGTTTTCTAGGAGAGTTTGCTTTGGTCTTCTCTTCCAGTTAATGGTTATATTCTTAAGACTGAGGACTAAGTCTGCAGACAGCAGTTCTCTTTCCTTTTGAACCCAGAGTTGCATTTAGAGGTGTTTCCTAAGGCATGATGCTGCTCACGGGCCTGGGGGAGCTGAGTGCAGAGCTTGATGGAGGTATCCACAGAGATTCAGATCCTTTCGGGGCTCTGGCCCAATAGAAGGGTGGGGGATCAACTTTGTCAGGCCTGGAAGAGGAGGCCACCCCGCCACCCTGGGCCTGGGGCTCTCTGCCTCCTCCTGGCTGCTGGTCTGGCTTGCTCACAGGAGGCAGGCAGATGCACAGTGGTCTTCATCCTGACAGACGCCTGGCACTACCAGAGACTAGCAGGGAATCTGGTGTTTCCCTTTTCTTTCGGATGGTCAGTCAGGTTGGGTATTTTCCGTGGCAACTGAGAACAGGCTGAGTAGGTGTGGAGAGTGGGGGCCAAGGCAGAATGTAGGGATATCTGCTTTATGATGACTCCAGGTGAGCTCTGGAGTTCTTGCTGTCACCCTGGACCACGAGCACCACCCCTGAGAAGAGTGTGGTGGTAGGAAGGAGGCCTCAAAGTGAGTCCTGAATGGCCTCCCCCAGCACTTGATTTGCAGGAGCCTAGAGAAAACCATCTTGTTCTGGGAGCCGTCCTTTGGTTTGCATTACTCATTGTCATAACCTAATCACCTGGCCTGATTCAGATCCGGTCTGTGACTTAAGGAACCTACAACCCACGGGGATTTACAAGCCTTTATAGATTAATATTTCTATATGACAGAGCTGTGAGTACTGCATGATGAAGTATGCCAAGCAGATGAAGTCCTGCTGGAACTGAGGGCTGGGGGAGACTTTATCCCCTCTGCTCAGCACCACCCCTAGTACCAAACTCAGGGCTGGGCAGAGAGCAAACTTGGTGCCTGATGACTGTTTGCTTGTTTAACTTTTTACTTTATAATGGAGTATAGCAGGGCTTCCAATTAACAGGGTTTCCCAGGTGGCTCAGTGGTAAAGAATTGGCCTGCCAATGCAGAAGCTGTAAGAGACGCGAGTTCAATCCCTGGGTCAGGAAGGTCCCTTGGAGGAGGAAATGGCAACCCACTCCAGTCTTCTTGCCTGGATAATGCCATGGACAGAGGAGCCTGGCGGGGTACAGTCCATGGGGTCACAAAGAGTTGGACATGGCTGAAGTGACTGAGCATTCACGCACACATGCACAGCCAGTTAACAATGTTGACAGTCTCAGCAAAGGGACTCAGTCATGCATATACATGTAACCACTCTCCCCTAAACTCCCATCCCATACAGGCTGCCACATAACATTGAGTAGAGTAGGTCCTTGTTGGTTATCTGTTTTAAATAAAGCAGTGTGAACATGTCAATCCCAAACTCCCTAACCATCCCTTCCCCCCATCCTCCCTACCTGGCAACCATAAATTTATTCTCTAAGTCTGTGAGTCTGTATCTGTTTTGTAAATAAGTTCATTTGTATAATTTCATTTAAAGTGAAAAAAAAAAGGAAAGAAGAAAATGAGTATTGGAAAAGTGTCATTTAATCCAATCTAAATGATGTTCCAATGGATCAGACAAAACAAACAACACTCCAAATGTTTCTCCCAAATAAATCCCACACGGGAACCAGGATTGCCCTGTAGGTCCAGTTTTATGAAGAATCAAATGCCTTTACAAAGAGAGGGTGTCATGTCAGGAGCAACTCGCACGTTTAATGAATGGTGACCATGTCAGGGGACTGGAGATTGGGGCCTCCTGCCCCAGACAGCCAGAGTTGCAGGAGACCCTCAGGATATCCTGAGACTCAGAGGGGTCTGTCCCTTGTTTGGTCACTCCAACCTCAGCAAACTACTCCCTAGGCCAATCCTATTATTTGATCCTCCAGACTTTGTCATACAATCCCCTCTAGCTACTACTGGGCTCAAGGTAACTGGGCCATAAGGTACGATCCTTAACTCATCAAGCAGCTCTTGGGGAAAAGGCTGAAAAAGGGAGCAGGAGGTTCATATGTCTTCACAGGGAGACAGAAGTCAAGGAGCTGAGCTGAAGTTGCTCATGCCTCAGCCAAAGAGAAAGGCAGATTCCTTCCACGTGCTAAGCTTCTAGACAAGGGAACGAGCTCAAGGCAATGAAAAAGGACCAGTTTAGCCACCTGATGGGTACAGGTTGTAACTGCAAACACTACATTGAATTGCGTAGATTAAATGTAATTTATAGAAACTGTGGGATGACCCCCACCACCCCCCACCACGCAGTCTGCCCAGTTTTGGAGCATTCCAGGTGCTGAACAAGTATGTCCGACCAGCTTTATGTCTTCCCTCTCAGTTTAGCTAGAAATACTATTTGCCTGTGTGTTTTCATGAGCAGGTTTGGGACCCTCTGTCTTGCTTTGAGAATCAGCTCTGTCTTATCCCAGGAAGTCAGGTCTGTACTGGTGAAGAGTTTGGACTTGAGTGACCTGCAAGAAATTCCAATACGCTGTCGTGATGTGGCTCTTAGTGCAGCCATAGATGGATGTGCTATAGAGACACTGCTCACGGGCCTGTCCGGCTCTGGAGGCTGAATACAAACTGGGGCGGCGGCTTCTTGAGGGTTTGCCTTCTCTGGGGCAGCCAGTGGTTGTCTGGCTGTCGGCCTAGCCAGGAGGAGCCCTTTTCGCAGTGCTCCTGGCCAAGCCCTCTCCCATGGGGTCTATAGATGTCACCTTGGCTCTGAGTCAGGAGGGGACTCACCTCCCAGAGGAAGTCTGGGGAGAGGAGAAAACAGGTGGAGGACCGAGGGGGTCACTTCAGGCCAGGCTAGGAGAGGCTGGCAGGGAAATTCATTGCTGGAGTTACCCAGAAAGAGAGCCACGCAGATAAAACTGAAAGATGATAAGTTAGAGAGAAACCAGAGCTGCCGGGAAGGCTGAGTATTCCCTCAGTGGAAGCAGAACTCTCTGGAAGCCTGCCATGTGGGCTGACCTCACCCCGGAACCCCGAACCAGAGCAAACACAACGCTTATCGCTGGAGGCTGGGAGGGCGCCGGGAGCCCGGACACACGGATGACGTTACCTCTCCCAAGAAAGGAGACTTCTGAGGAGCAGGTGTCACTTATCAGGTCTTAGATCAAACATTAAAGAAAATGAAAACTAATGCACACTTCATATTCATGAACACAATGCTTCCTGAAGCAGGGGCTTCAAATCCCGCGGCCGTTTTGTGACGTCTCTTCCTAAGAAAACGTGGAACCTGCATTCAGGGGGATCTCAGAGTGAGCATGCCCCTCATCTGCAGTGGGGGGCTCTGAGGGTCTGTGCAACCCCCACCCTACCCCACTGATGGCCTTGGACTCTGCAGAGCTGAGTGAGGCTGTCAGAACTCCTCCCCCGAGGGTCTTCACTGTTTTGCCACTTGGATCAAAAGCCAGTACTTATTTGCAGTAACAAGGAGACACCTGGGCCAGGCTACTTGGTTGAAAGATCCACAACTTGCAGGCAGGTAATGAGACACAAAGGAACCACGACTACAGGCCTGGAGCAGCGAACAATCCAACAGGAATAACACACCCGTGACCCCTAGGCAGGTGCATCAGAGGTTATAGGCAACACTCCAGGCCACCCGCTTAGGCCACTTCCAGTTGAGGGACTGACTTCTGGGGGTTCGAGAGCAACTCAAGAAGAGAGGATAGCTGGATTCAGCTGTGGCTAGGTGGCTTCATGGTGACAGTGAACTCTAAAATGCTGTAGCTGTGTACTCCGAAGCCCAGCACACAGTTTGGAATGGACTTTCCATTTAACAGGCAAGTGAACAGCACAGAAGTAGAATCTGTTTTTCTAGCTACTCTGATCTGTTAGGTATCTATGAAAGATACACCATTAACTATGTTCAGAACCACAAAGAATTAAAACTAGAAGAATCAGCTTATAGAGTCTGAATTTTAATCCTCTTCATAGTGATCTACCAATATATTAGCTTGTAAAATGTTGTTTATATCACACATGTATATAGTATTCTTCCTAAAGATTAACACTATTGAGTGCCAAGAGCACAACATGGTACATACAATAAAATTCTGAAATTAATAATACGTTGATTCAATCACCT